CGGTGGATGGCCTACACACGCGGATGGATGCCATGTCGCAGAGGCAGTCCAGATCTGAGAGCCGGTTTATGGCCTGGTTACATGCATTGGGGAGAGCTTGCAATGTAGACCCCAGCACCGTCTCCGACTCTGATTGAGTCTTAGGGAAGTCTTCTGACCCTTCTGCTCTTTACTTTCTTGATATGACATGGGGACATGCCATGATTTTAAGTATGGGGTGGGAGACTTGCTCTGATTGTTTGTTGTAATGTATATAGACGTTGTTTGTGTTGTAGCATTAGATTGATGTGTTGTATATATTTGAGTGTGCTTATACTAGGAGTAGCTGACTTGGCCCAACGACGGGCACTTGTCGACGGGTCTCTTGAGGGTCAAAGTCGGAATTAAATTAAACTGAAAACAAGTTAGAGGACTCTTCCTGAGGACGGACCACTTGGACAATAATCTTGAGGGAAGTAGTCCATATAGAATTTTTTTATTTTTCTCTTCTAGGTAGTGTAGTACTTCCCCCTTGGTTTTTCTTTTGACCACGGTTCTTTTTCAAGGGCTTTTCTTGAACCGGGTTAGGTAGATTTTCCTTTTGTAGTTTTAGGACTAAGGTGGGTGAAGGCTAGAATACAACCCCTGATGTGCACACCGGCAAATAACTAAAACGAACTTGAGAGTGTGACGTCTAGGCTCGCTTGTGGACTCGTAAATCTATGCCTTAATTTTGCACATCTTGTCTTGCTTGAACGTCGTATGAGTGTGTTGATGAACTGATTCGGAATGAGTTGCATGCTAAGTGTGTGGGAGATATTACTTGCATTCTATGCCTGCATGCGATGCCAAGAACTTGCCCTGTGTGTTTGCAAAGCGAAATAGAAGTTTTTTGGTTTTAGATATTATTGAGGCATTTCTTTGTGCAACCCTATATAATTGTGAATCCACCTGTATATATCGCCATAGTTAACCCCTTTGAGCCTGAAGCCTGTTCTTTGATAACCCTATAATGACCTAAATCTCTGTGTTTGAATAGCTTGATTGTTTGAACCTATACCTCCTAGAAGCGCTTGAATCACTAAAGAACATACAAAAGTCAAAGTGTGGGGTAGTAGGGAGTTAGCGAAAAAAAAGGGGAATCAAGAATGAATGGTTTGATTGGTGCACAGGCATTGTAAAAGAACAAAAAAATGAGACAAAGAAAACAAAATAAAGAAAAAAAAAGAAAAAAAAAAGAAGCCAGTTGCACCTAAAGAAAAGTGGGGGTCACACGTGAAACAAAAATGTGGAAGAACGATTGGGTTGAGCATGGAAATTGAAATAAAAGGAAGTGTGTATTAAAAGTGCTTAGGGAGGTTAGTCACTATATCCATATATCCTACCCGTAGCCTACATTACAACCAAATGAAGACCTCTTGATCTTTGACTGAACAACTCGATTAGTAGAGTATTACACTAGGGGCAAGCTTATGGTGTGTCTGTGTGGCATGTGAATGCTCTTTGCTGAGAGTGAGTGAATTATTTCTATCCTTGGTTCCTTATTGTTTGAATTTTATGTGCGGGAAACTTCTCTTAGACTTGTGATGTGAGGGCATGTGACCCAGGAAGAAAAGGTAAATCTTCACTTCTGTTAGAGTAACTAGAGTGAGCACGAGTATGTCATAGCATGAGAGTCTGCATCTGAGGTATGATTGTTGCATTGCTTAGGTTGGTCCTTTGTAATGGCGAGTGTGACATAAATTGGGGTAATGTATCAAACGGTTAGGCCTAGAAGTGTGGTTTAACTTGCTCGAGGACGAGCAAAGGTTTAAGCTTGGGGTGTTGATAATAGGTGAATTTAACTATAATCACGCCTTAAATAGCCACCTTCTTGTATACTTTTGATGATAAAAGTGATAACAAAATGCTCTTAATAGTGCTTTTCATGATTTGCAGGTGATATATGACTAGGGAAGGCTAGGGAGTACTTTTGGAGTCAAAAATGAAGAAAAAGAGGTCAACTGTGAAATTCCCCAAGTAAACCACGCAAAACAGGCCTGAAGATTCAGAGAGCTGTGTTGACCGCGGTTCCACCGCGACCGCGGTAGAACCGCGGTGGAAGAGAGCTGCAGATAAAATGAGATTCAGAGAAGGCATTTGGCCGCGGTTTGACTGCGACCGTGGAAGAACCGCGGCGGAAGCAGAACACTTCAGGGACTAAAGTGTAAAACACGGGATTTTTAGACCTAAACCCTAGTTTAAATACGAGACTTCGCCCAAGAGAGGCATGTATTGAATTTTAGAGTATCTTGGCAAGAAAAACTATTGAGAGAATACCCAAAAACATAGTTCTTTTCTTTGATTTTTATTGCTAGTTATGATGAATTCTATCTTAGCTTGTTTTCCCATAGCCATGAGTAGCTAAATCCTTTGTCTAAGGCTTTGATGGAACCTATTGGGGGATGAACATCTTGTTTATGTGAATGCAAATTGCTAGTTTCAATCTCTATTTGTTCAACTTTGTGCTTGTTGTAGTTAATTGACAGGATCCTCAATTAGTTGTGCCTATTTAGTGTGCATAACTTGGAAAAGAGTGCATATTTAGGTTATTGTTGAACAACACCACTCCCAAAGTATAAGAGGAATCTATAATCGCGGGTTTAAAGGCGGGATTAGGGATAACGAAGCCTTGGGTGTAATCTAAAGTGAATTGTGCTAAATAAAGTAAGCTAGTGTATCTCGGGAGAGTGCAATTAGTATATTACTGTGATTACTCGGGAGAGATTTATGGTAAGATGAGCGTTCATGATTGATAGAGATGTGTTGGTAAATTTGTATGAGCATAAACAGAAGGGATTCCTTCAATAGGGGAAATTATTGCCTTAGCTTCTTCTCATCATTGTTTACAACCATAGCATTTTAGTTTACAGCTGTTTAATTTACTTGCAATCGTAGTTAGTAAAGCGACCTTCAACTGTAATTCAAACATCTGGGAAACTGGTTCTGATGAGTTTAGTGGGTCTAAAGATAGTGATTGATAGGTTAACTCTCTGTGGATTCGACCCTGAGCGTAATACTTGGGTTATATTTGCAACGTCCGCAGAGTCCTTTTTAGAGGGCATAGTTGGGCGTGATCATTGTCTTTCAAAATTTTCACTCAAATTACTTATAAAAATTCAAAAACAATATGAAATTCTATTCATGTCCAGATACAACTCTAACTTTCAAATATCATTTTCACTTGAATTTAAGTCTTAAATATGAAGTGGGGTGTTGTTGACTTATGACTAAAATGAGTCAGTCTTTTAGCAGAGCAGTGACGTGTCGATTTACTTTTGTTGGTCTTTATCACAATCCAATTATTAATAACGTATACTGTAGCTTTTTGCTAGTTTGTAATCTGTAAATTATGACGTCATGCTTAACACCGCATGATGCTATATTTATTTTAGGATTTAATTTTAGAATGGCAAAATACAATAGTTTTAATATTTGCAAAAAATGTTAAATACGCTTTACCCTCTTGACCTCCGAGGGAGGGATGTTTGGTACAATGGATAAGCAAAAATAATTTTGGGATAAAATTTTAGTACCGTATTATCTCTTATTTTGTTACTAATCATCATGTGCTAAGTTATCCTATGATTAAAATTAATACGGAAAAAACTTATATTTGCTAGATGGAAGAATAGTAATAAAGTATAATTTAGTAACAAATTAGTGACGACTTACCAACCAACTATTTACTAACAGAAGAATTTGTTGCTAATTTTGCCAACCAATTGGTATCTGTTAGTAAACTTGCCAACGGATACTAAATCAGTGGGAAATCTTTACCAACAAATCAAGATTGTGGTTTGTAAATTATTAACAGATTTGAATTAGTTGATAATATTGCATATAACGTATAATTTGTTAGTAATTACTACCAACAGAGCCTAAGTCCGTTGGTAATTTACCAACTAATATTGAAATAGTTGGAAAATTTACCAACATACAGGTGAAATTGGTTGGTAAATTACAAACTAGTCATGTTGAACGTTTGGTAAATTTAATGATGAATACTAAATCATCAATTTAAAGATATGAGTATATATCTCTCTCCATGTGTGTGTTATGTGTATGTGTAGGACCTTCTAAACAATTATCATAACGTTCTTTACTAATTCTCTTTCTTGCAAATTAATTTTTTTTATTAAAAATGCTTTTAGAAAAGTTTGAAATTATTGTGAGGTAATATTAACTTGTTTATTTAATTTAAAAAGCATATATACTCTCCTAATTTTCTTTCTAAATTTTGTTTATCGACTGTATATAATTATTTTTTCACAATAGGCTAGATTTGCTTCACACTATTTACCATTTTCAATTTCTAGTTAAACTATATAATACTTATTTCAATAAAAGAATTTTTGAACAACAAAAGGTGATAAGACTTCTTTCATTGTATTTTTTCATAATGGTCAAATAAACCCCTCGCCCAAACTCAAAATTCTTCATGTTTTGGAACTTATGCCTCGCCCCACGTTAAGTAATTAGTACTAGTGTAAGTAGCATGAAAGATGTTGGATTTGACAAAGAGGAAAAAAATTACTTGAAAAGAAAGATTTAGATATATATATATATACGTGGATTGATATTTTATGCGTGTAGTGGGAAGCTATACCATTCTTCGTTGCCATTAATTAATAACTTGACAAAAAAGGAAATATAATATGCGTAAATTTTTAACTTGTAAAAACAGAGCTATACCATTTTCTCCATTGCTCTATTATGAACATATTTATTCGCTTATAAACAGAATATTAGTTATACTACGTACGTAAACGTTATCCTAAGTTATACCTCAATTAGGGTAAAAACTTACCCCAAAAATTAATGTTCATTATTCTTAACTACCATTTCTTCTTCACTAGACCAACTAGTGTTGCTATATATATATTGACGTTCAACTTCCTTTGATCCTTCATTCCAATTTTCAATATCTTCTCTTCCTATTGATGAGTTGAGTTTCGATTCTGTTGTCGAAAAAAATCAAAGAGTGACGAAATTACTGCTTTCATTTAAATTCTCTTCCACGGTTTTACTGCATTTGATTATTGTTGCTATTTTGCATCAATGGCGTACTTCACCACTACTATATATATGGTCATGATTGTGTTAACCAGCATTTTATGCCAAGAAGGATGCCAACAAATAACACAACCTCCGAATGCAATAGTAGTATTAGATGGATCAGGCAATTATATATACGACAATATAATAATGGCTGCAGTCTCGGCAGCTCCAAACAACAGCATTACAAAATTATACTACATCGATCCTAATAAAACAAGAAACCTACAACGAGTATGTCCAAATCGAAGAATGGAAAACAAACATAGTTCTCGTCGGAGAAGGAATGGACAAAACCATAATATCAAGCTATGGAGGTGGCCTCGGGACGTATTACACAGGTAATTAAACTGACCCTTCTTAATTTACTCCGATTAATCAAATTTGTAATTTGTTAAGTATTACTACGTTGCATGCAACAATATTTGTATCATTGATCTGATGACTGTTTAATTTTGTTTCTCTTTCAAGGGGTGAATGGGCAAGGATTCATGCATGGCGCAAGACATCACTTTTCGAAACATTGCTGGAGCTCAGATGCAACAGGCAGTAGCTTTAAGGCGACCATGGGGTAACTACTGTGATCATGCAGAGTTACATAGACCTATTGATAAATCCAAAAGGCTGGATAGAGTTTCAGGGAGAGCCCCTAGTTCGCCCATTCTATATGGAATTCAAAAATAGAGGACCTGGTGCAAACACAACGGGACGTGTGATGTGGGCGTGTGTCACTAATGATCCTAAGGTCTCATCAAGTTCACTATCAGGAATTTTATCTAGGGTGATAAATGAATACCCTCCACAGTCCCACATTACTTTGATCTGCAATGAATGCAAATGATATTGTAATCCACGATTTCTGCTAGTTATAGCAGTATAGTATCTGTTAGTAGTATTAATATGGCTTGCAATTTTTTCTCTCAGCAAAATATGCAGTAAAATGTTAAAGACTCATGTTTTTCATATCGTTCTTGTTGGGAATAAATCTCCCACGGTAATAATATTCACGACAATAAAAGCGGAATAATAATGTAGCACCGAGATACGGTAATCAACAAGAATAAAAGAGTGACAACGACACCAAGATTTTTACGTGGAAAATCCTTCTGAATAAGGGGAAAAACCACGACCCTGAGAGGAGCAACTGATATCACTATAGCAAGGAATTTTACACTTTGTAGGCCAGTAAAATACTCCAAAGACCACTACAACACTCAAAAGAGATAACCCTCTTTTGATATTTCCACCTCACTACAATATCGCTCACACTCTCTATTTTCCTCACAGACTATTTTCTTATACCCTGTCTGTGATGCCTCACTCTTTTTTGTCTCTCTCTTTGTTGGTGTGTTGAAAGAAGTGAAAGAGCTCTCCTTTTATAGGAGAAAATACGTAGCCTCCACATCTTTGCATACTTTGGCTCCAAGTAAAATCTTCCGCCAAGCTTCTCTGCCAAAGTAAATTCATAGGCAAAATAGGCACAAGGCTATTGCCAACTATTTCCAACCAATGGGATGCACCCCACAATCTCCCCCTCCAGTCCCATTCACCTGAAGGAGGTAACACTGGGGTTGCTAGTTTGAGTGCATGCCGACAAGTTCTTTGCATAGCTCGAACTTGTCTCTTGGTACCACCTTGGTCAGCATATCCCAAGGATTCTCACTTGTATGGATCTTCTTGACCTGCATATATCCATCCTCTATCTTTTCTCGAATCTAGTGATATCTCACGTCGATATGCTTCGTCCTTGCATGATACATGGTGTTTTTGCTCAAGTCTATTGCACTTTGACTGTCACAATAGACTGTATATTCCTTCTGGTGCAATCCAAGTTCTTGAAGAAACCGTTTTAGTCATACCATCTCCTTGCCAGCTTCAGTAGCCGCAATATACTCTGCTTCAGTTGTAGAGAGTGCGACACACTTCTGCAACTTCGACTGCCAGGATATAGCTCCCCTGAAAAAGTGAACATGTATCCAGTAGTAGATTTACGATTATCAAGATCACCTACCATATCAGCATATGTGTAGCCCTTCAAGATTGGATCATATCCTCCAAACACAAACAATCTCGTGTGGTACCTCTTAGGTACCTGCGTATCCACTTGACTGCTTCCCAATGTTCTTTCCCGGGATTTTCAAGGAACCTGCTAACAATACCAACGGCATGAGCAATATCAGATCTGGTGTATACCATTGCATACATCAAGCTTCCGACTGCTGAAGAATAAGGAACTCTAGCCGTGTTCCCTTTCTCCTCCACTATTGTAGGACACATCTTCTTGCTCAACTTCAGATGACCAGCAAGAGGTGTGCTGACTGGTTTAGCATTTTTCATGTTGAAGCGTTCCAATACACGTTCAATGTACTTCTCCTGAGATAGCCACAACTTTCTGCTTGTTCGCTCGAACTATCTTCATCCCCAAAATTTGTTGTGCTGGGCCCAAGTCCTTCATGTCAAATGACTTGGACAAATCTTTCTTCAACTTTGCAATCAGCTCCTTGTCTTGTCCTACAATCAACATGTCATCCACATACAACAACAATATAATAAAGTTGTTATCAGAAAATCTTTTGAAGTATACACATGGATCAGAATAGGTCTTTATGTATGTTTGACTTTTCATGAATGAGTCAAACTTCATATACCACTACCTTGGTGCCTGCTTCAACCCATAAAGACTCTTGTTCAATTTGCACACCATGTGTTTCATTCCAGCTACTTCAAATCCTTATGGCTGCTCTATATAAATCTCCTCTTCCAATCTCCATGAAGAAATGCAGTTTTCACATCCAACTGCTCCACTTCAAGACCTAGGCTAGCTGCTAAGCTCAAGATTGTTCGAATAGAAGTCATTTTGACAATAGGTGAGAAAATTTCGTCAAAATCAATACCTTTCTTCTGTTCGAAGCCTTTCACCACCAATCGAGCTTTGTATCTGACCAGCTTGCCATTTCCATCTTTCTTGAGTTTAAAGACCCATTTGCATTTGAGTGGTCTTTTACCCTTTGGAAGTTCAATCAGCTTGTACGTGCCATTTTTTTGTAGAGATACCATCTCTTATTGCATGGCTTTCATCCACTGGTTCTTTTTTGGATGGGACAACACCTCTTTAATACTTTATGGCTCTCCTTCATCACTGATGAGGACATACTCTGTGGAAGGGTACCTGTATGACTCTACCCTTGGCCTATCTGATCTCCTTAGAGTTTGAGGTTGTTCTTCTTCCTGAGTGGGGTGCTCCACTTCCTCGACACCTTCATCAAATTGCTCCCTCTGCTCAATAACCTTACCAGGTTGCTCCCCCTGCTCGGCAACCTCGTCGGTCCTACTTTCTGCACTTGTGGGATTGTTAGAAGTAGAAGGAATAGTAACAAGGTTAGGAATTATACCATTCTTGGCCTTCTCTGACATATCAGCAACAGTTCAAACTTCACTTTCTCGGAAGACTACATCTCTGCTTCCGATGACCTTCTTCTTTACAGGATCCCACAATCTGTATCCGAACTCTTCATCTCCATATCCAATGAATATGCAGGGAACAAATTTATCATCCAGCTTTGTTCTCTGCTCCTTTGATACATGTGCAAAAGTTCTGCAACCGAACACTTTCAGGTGTAATAGGACACCTCCTTGTTGGTCCAAACTCTCTCTGGGATGTCATACGCCAACGGAACTGATGGACTCCTATTGATCAGGTAACAGGCTGTCTGAACCGCTTCACCCCAGAATGACTTAGGCAGTTTAGCCATTCTGAGCATGCTTCTCACTTTCTCAACAATGGTGCGGTTCATCCTCTCGGCTACGCCATTGTGCTGTGGGGTTCCAGGAACTTTCTTTTCATGTCTGATCCCGTGACTTGAACAGTAATCTTCAAATTCTCTTGAAGTGTACTCACCTCCATTATCACTTCGGAGACGCTTTAGCTTTCGACCCGTCTCCCTTTCTACTAGAGCATGAAACTTCTGGAAAATTTGAAACACCTGATCTTTGGTTTTCAAAATATAAACCCATAATTTTCGTGAAGCATCATCAATAAAAGTAACAAAATATTTGTTACCGCCCATCGATTCAATTTCCATTGGACCACAAACATCGAAATATACTAAATCAAGTATATTCAATTTTCTTTCAGACGATGTCTGAAATGAGACTCTATGCTGCTTACCAAATTAACAGTAGTCACAAGGTTTTATCGTTGTACCTTTGGCATAAGAAATGAGTGATTTTTTGGCAAGAATCTGCAATCCCTTCTCGCTCATGTGACCCATTCTTTTGTGCCACAAATTTGCAGAAATCTCATCTTGTGCCGCGTTCAATTCACCTTGGCATATTTCTGCATTTGTCCTGTACAACGTGCCACGAGCAACACCCTTTGCAATCACCAATGATCCCTTGGTGAGTCTCCACTTTTGATTTGCAAAATAGTTCTCGTACCCATCTCGGTCTAAAGCAATTCCCGAGATCAAATTCATCCGCAAATCTGGTACATGCCGCACGTCCTTTAGAACCAATCTCCGCAAATCTCCACATTTGTCTTGATACAAATGTCACCAATCCCCACAATCTTTAAGTAACTTGTGTTACCCATTCTCACCGTGCCGAAATCACCTGCTACATATCTGCAAAAAGATCTCTTACCGGTGTGGCATGGTAAGATGCTGCTGTATCAACCACCCATTCCAACTCGGGACCTGACAGGTGCATGCATTCCTCTTCCTCATTTATAAAGAGGACAACATTATCATTGTTTTGCACCATCGCGGTTGTGTTGTCATCATTCTTCTGGCCACTACTTTCACCTTTGCCCTTCCTTGGATTTGGGCAATCTCTTTTGACGTGACCCGGTTGATCACAATTGTAGCAATTTCTGACTCTTGATTTGGATCGGTTCTTAGATTTCCCACGAGCTCCGGATCTACCATAGTTGTTCGAACTCCTTTGATAATTCCTGCCTCTACCTTCTGTGATGAGAGCCTGTCCTTGATTTTCAGGCTTCTTTCTCATCTTATCATTGAGTAGAAGAGCCGATGTGACATCTTTCAACTCAATGGTAGTCTTACCATGCAGGATGGTTGTTGCCAAATTATCGTACGAAGATGGCAACGAGTTCAATAGCAAGATAACTTTATCTTCTTCCTCTATTTTCACTCCGAGGTTGGTGAGCTGTGTGATTAGTCCGTTAAACACATTTAAATGTGACAAAAAATTTGTACCTTCACCCATGTGTAGGGCGTATAACTGCTTCTTCAGGTACAATTTATCTGTCAGCGTTTTGGACATGTATAGGCTTTCCAACCTTGTCCAAATGCCACGTGCGGTGTCTTCATCAATGATGTTATTTACCACATCATCTGATAAGTGCAACCTGATTGCACTAGCAACCTTTTCATCCAAGTCAGCCCAATCCTCAACTTTCATGGTATCAGGCTTTTTAGCATCAACATCTAGTACCTCATGTAATCCTTGTTGGATGAGCAAATCCCTCATCCTTCTTTGCCATGTTGAGAAACCGTTATCTCCGTTGAATTTTGCTACCTCGTACTTTACTCCAGACATTTTTATTTTTCGCCGAGTATAGTACTACCGACAGTGAATAGTATTTATGTGAACGAGCAGAACCTGTGCTCTGATACCAGTTGTTGGAAATAAATCTCCCACAGTAATAATATTCACGGTAATAAAAGCGAAATAATAATGTAGCACTGAGATACGGTAATCAACAAGAATAAAAGAGTGACAACGACACCAAGATTTTTACGTGGAAAACCCTTCTGAATAAGGGGACAAACCACGACCCCGAGAGGAGCAACTGATATCACTATAGCAAGGAATTTTTACACTTTGGAGGCCCGAGTAAAATACTCCAAAGACCACTACAACA